GCCACTATGTGGCAAAGTTTTGGTGTGACAATTATCCATCAATTTTTGTAGCTACAGAGTAGGTGGGCCTTTGTTTGGTGCATCTCTACTCCAGCCAGTATAGAATATTTCAGTAGAGCAATTTGAACTCTCTTTAGCAGTTCAGTTTGTCAGACGTTTTTCAGTCTTCATTCTTGTTCTCATCTAGTTTTATTATGTGCAAGCAGAAACACTTGAAAAATGTATAGTACATGAAATAAGACAATTTGGCTTCAGTTCCATTTCTAGATTCATGAGGGACATCACTGTGTGACTTAAAATTGTTTACATGTTGAAAGGGCACAAGAGGAATTTAGAGAATTAATGCACCTTCCTACCTCAGAATAGAGGCAACACTTAAGTATAAAAGAAATTGGGTAATGACATTACATTCAATATGAGAAATTCTTCACACGAGGGAAACAGTATTTTGAAATGTGTTGCCTCATAGCTAAATGATACTGCTACCTCAAATTTCCATGAGCCAATGATCCTTAGAATTGTTTATGCAAGTTCCTCCTTTACCTTGTGACCACTGCTCCCTGAAAATCATTTTTATGAAAATTACTGTTTTCCAGTGTTCTTTCTGATGCCCCATCTCATCAGCATATACCAGCAGGATATACTTTAGATCCACTAGAGTACTGTAGGAGACTGTTGCTTATTTTTGGTTTATGATGATACCTAGCTGGGCCAGCTGAAATATGGGTCTTCTAACAGTAGATAGCGTCCAGCCACTCAGCAGGAGACAGCTCCCAAATAAGCAACCCATGATTACACAGTGGAGACATAGATGGACTTTCCCAGAATAAGGAGCAGATCCGTTTCAAAGTTAGAAATAAAGTCTGAGTCATCTGGCGCATATTGCACTGCCCTGTTCACTAGCCTGTTCCACCAGTTAGGCTATGTGCTGGTGTGCCCATGAAAATTGCAGCAGTCTGAAGTGGAGGATTCTCTCTGCTTTGCACCATTAGGAAACAAGCACCTTCTGTAGTTCATAATATGCTCAATTACCTTTAGATTGATCCATGAATAAATTATAATCAAAACAGACTTATTCACCTTAAAGCTCTCCCGGATTAAGGTTTCATTGTTGATTCATTATGTTGTCAGTTCTCTATTGGCAGGGTAATGCTTTTTTATATCTGGATAGAGACAGTTTTAGTGGAAGATAATGTTATCTTTAAATGAGTAGGATTTAGCTTTTCTGGTGAAAACAAAGTCATCAATGATGAATCCCTGGAGAAACTACTAAAACAAAAATCACAATATTGCCGGAGATTTATACAGTTCATCAGTTAAAAGGCAGCTTTTGGAAATCTTGTGGTGGGGAGAAGGATTTGGATTTTTCGTTTCTTTCTGTAAAATATTCCAGTACAATATGTCAAGCTTCGAGTTTTGTTATATGCAGTTATAAACCATGAAATAATATCACTCAATATATTTATTTTGGCCCCATTCTTGATGTGGTGCCTCCAATAGAAACACATTGGATTATGGCTATACAGAGACAGATGGATACAAATGCAGCTATAGATATCACTGATGCACATATAGAAGTAGACAAGAATTACCTAATTACTGTGCTTGTTGCAATCTTCTAAGCACTTGCTATGATCCACATATTCATATTAATTATTTTTTTCTAGGCAGATGTTGATATGACAAAGAGATCAGTGTATGGAGAGTTTAGTGATATTGGAATATCTGGAAATTAAAAAGTGTAGAAAGATATCAAAAGCAAAGCAAACAGAGTTAAACTTACCAAGCTCTATGCTTTTGCTTTCATTGGGAATTGTGCTATTAAATCCCCCATGTGCTTAGGAAGATATCCCCTTCAATGATTAGAGGTGATTTTATTTTAAACCCTCTTAAATATCCATCTCTTTGGCAGTTATTTCAACATGTTTCCACTTTTGCTATATCCAGTAACTCACTTCATTAAAATACTGTTTGCCATTTCATATGGCCTTTGACTCTAAAATGTTTGAAACCACAGCTCTGAACAATAAGCACTCTCATCAGCGTTCCCTGTATCTGTGCATTACTCATAAGGAGAGCCATCAATAAGTCTTTCCTAAGCTCCTGAGGCTACATTTTCATGTATTATTTATTGTTGTAGAAAAGATAGCTGGTTTTCAGTGGTGTTTGATGAAATTTGGCTTGGCTGCTTGTGAACTGCTAGACTCCAAACACCAAGTAATCAGACCATTTGCATGGGCACACAGTCACCTTCTGTTAAGTCAGTGGAAGCTCATTGTGTGTGCCCAAGCCTGGACTACGACCTAGGTGCTTCCTTAATCATTTTAAATTGCATTTATAATCAATTTCTTGATGGAAAACCAGCAAGGCTCAGCAAAGACCAAGGTTGAATGTTACTTTTCTAGATTAATCATAATTTCATTTATTTCTAAAAGGTACAGATTATATTGTTTAATTTAACTGCATGCTTGTCATTATGAAGCATCTGAATGTTGGTACTGATGGGATTGCACGCTTGTTCAAATGTCTGCTGTACATTCCAGCTAGCAGCTATGTTAGATGTAAAAATCTAGAGACTTCCATCTCACAACTTAGACAGTTAATTAATTGCCTTTGTAATTCGCTCTTCATCTATACACAGAAATCATTTTTTTCCACACTTTTCCTTAGATCACCTGTTTCATTTCAATATACTCAGTATTTCTGTCTGTACAAATTAGGAGATTGGGCATACATTAAGAGAACAGAAAAGTAAATGATTTATTCTGCAGAGCTTTGGCTATTCTTCCCAGAGATGATCTTCAGTCAAGCCATGAACAACTGTCTCATCTCTCTACTCCTTCAGTTAAAACCTCAGCAAAATTAGCTTTGCTGCCTACTCTGAAAGTCAGCAATTCAATTCCTGGCCAGACAAGGAAGAGTCCAAAAATGCTTTGTCATCAAGTGTCTTGCCCTCTCAAACCCAAACTTGTTGGCATCAGCACATAAATTATGGAGAGAAAGTAGTTTCTCAGTGACACAGCTACTACTTAGTTGTAACCAAAATGTATTTCTAATTGATGCAGCCTAGCAGACATACAAGAACACATTTTATCAAAATTTGTATTTTTTTAGATTTTTGCTAAAAGTCTCATAAAAAATTGAGTCTTTATGTGTGTTCTTTAGAGCCTATTGATTATATTGAAATTAGACAAATTCTTGCTTGTACTCATTTTCCTGTTTAAAATAATTCTGGTTTTGCTGTCTTATTTGACTTTGGTATGTAAGGCCACTACCTTACTGCTGTTTGCAGTAATATTTAAAGTCTTATTTTAAGACATCCTAGAATATTTTCTTTCCAAGATCATGTACGGCAACTGCACAGAAAGGAAAGTTTGTTTGATGTCTCTAAGGAAGGCCTTGAACATGACATTCAGCAACAGCGTTCCCATTGAACAGACAAAACAAGATCCCTTTGCTAGTGGGCAAACTCAGGCTACATCTAGATTTGGGACAGATGGGGTCTGCAACATCCCCTGCAGCTCTTGTCTTGCATTTGCCTAGATTGAGGCATTGTCCCAGAGTACAGCTCAGTCCCAGCGTGCAGGAGGGCACCTCCTCTGGAGAGCACCATGAAACTGCAAGTCTTCTGACTTGAAGTCAAAAATGTGTTGAGGCCACAAACCAGCTCTCGGAGGCAGGGAAGCATTTCAAGGCCTCACCCATGGGCCGTATGCTCAGAGTGCCAAAAACCTAGCAGCCAAGAAAGCTTTTATTTGTCATAACAGGAAGCCTGAGATCCCAAGGTTGGGTATGGTGACTGACAGAGCTCATTGAGGAATTTTTCTCGTAAGGATTAGCTGGGTAACCTCTTCTGGATATACTTCATTTTAAAAAATAATAATTTTTAAATTTTTAAATAATTCTGGTTTTAAAATTCACATTGAAATTCCTTCTTAAAAATTTATAACCACAGCAGTACTGTATCTTGTTCGATATGCTCTTTGAGGTTGTATTATTAGCGTGAATTAATGCTAGCAACTGCTGAGGCTATGTATCCCCTGTTACTACCTGCTAGTTTCTGCAGTACTGCCGTAGCTTCTGAACAGGGTTTAGTTAGGCAGATAAAATACTTTTGCATAATAAGGAACTAGTTTCAGGGGAAGAAGGACATGGTCTTTTGCATCAAGCAAAAATCCATGTTTTCCACCATGTTTCATTCACCTAAATCTGTGATTGTGGCACGCTACAGTTGTCCATATCTCTGATAGGTAAGCAAAGGGACTTTTTCTTTCAGGAAGCCGGATGTTTTATGAAATCTGAACCAGCACTTTCATGTTCTTGGGTGAGACATGAGTTTTGCAATTCAGTGAAATCATCCTCTAGAGTTTGCTTAATTGGCTTTGAGGATTAGATGTTGCAGAAACGACTGCTAGTGGGACATAGAGGTAAATCAGGAGATTAGAATGTGTTTCAGTTCATTTGGTGTATGTTAGCCTTACTTTGACAGGTCAAGACAGCCTTCTGTCACCAGAATGCAAAATACACGTTTGTAAGCTTTAAAAATATATATTGACATATTCAGATAGCCATACAAATAATTGTAAACACTGGTGGAACCTTCCTAAGTAAACTGATAGTTTTATGATACCTTTCCACATACTATAGAAATAAAGTTACACATTTGAATTATTTAAAATAATACATTTTTATATATAAGCAAGTATGCAATGGGGAAATATAAGACTGTTGGATGCTGACCTGCAATTCAGCGATTTTTCTGCTGTAGTATATTAATATTTTAATATTCTAATATATATTTTCAAGTCAGATCCTGAAGTTCATGTTTGATTTTTATTCACTTCTCACTTTGGTGCAGTCTCACTGATTTCAATTTCAACTTCCTGAACAAGAAGCAAGTTGTACTCAGGAAGGACTTAGGATCTCGCCCTTGGGATCAGACTCGCCTTTTTGCTACACCCACTCATTAAGTATAATCATTACTCCTGATTTTTTTTCAGAAACTACCAAGTTTTGGACCTTACCTGGAACAACGCAGAAAGATAATAGCTGAGAACAAGATTAAGCTGAAGGAACAGAGCATGGCTGCTGTGCTTCCTGAGAAAAAGCAGTTCACTCCAAAGAAGCCCATTCCAGCAATCAAGGTAACAAAAATACATGCTTACGCATAAGAAATGATCAGCCATCAGGCAGTTGACATGCACAGTCATTTCTAGCAGATTGAGTTGGTTATTACTGCTTTTAAGCTTGTTAGAGGTCATCGAAGACAACTATTTATGCAGACTTTTGAGCTTTTAACCAAAATCGATGGGAAATGATTTGTGATGTACATGTATAGGTATTTCCCTAATGTCATTTTTCAGAATGAAGATATTCAGGCAATGGAATGGTAATCGTAGAACAAGGCATGGGTAATGCCTTGAAGAACAAAGTAGAACTGTTAAATATTTCTTTCAGTTTGAATGCTACAGCATGAGCTCAGTTTCGTATGATACCTTCTGATTACTTGCAATATGCTAAATACATCCATCTCTCATGCAGGATCAGTGGAAAAGGTTGGTGTTCAGTATACAAGAAAGCTGTGTCATAGGTTTTCAGTCTGAACTTTCAAAGCTGGAGAATGTTTGTCTAAGTAGCTGATCCACCGTCTACAATGAGTAAATGTCAAGGAGAAAATAAAACCTCTGGTGACCCCATGTACTGCATAATCCATACATTGGAGCTTTTCCCTTCCCTTAGGTAGCCAATAAATGTCAATAAAATGAAACGTGAGAAGCTAATTATTCTAGATGTTCATTTTAGACCTTACTTAAACTTCATGTTTGAATAGGAAAAAGAAGGAAGCAAAAAAATATTTTTTTAAAACCAGAATTCTCATGTAGTATGAAAAGTACATCTATTGAGCTTCTTGACTGTCTTCCTCATATATGTGAGAATATCAGATATCTACAGATAGGTAACTTTCATTGTATGATTGGACCTGTAAGAATTCTTGCAAAAATAAGGCCAAACATAAAATACAATACAAGCAATAGCTCAGAATAACACATTATTCCCAAGGGAATTTTACAGTTTACCAGCACATGCAGTATTCCAAGCAAAGTGGTAGAACTGCAAAACCAGCCAAGGAGAAATTTTGAGTCATCTTCCTGTTTAAGTTAAATAGTTTGCCAGTTCTGTAGACCCCTCTCATTTTTTTCCACTGCTTATTTTGGTTTGTGTCATGCTGTTGAAAATCGCTCCCTTCCTCCTGTGCTGAGGTTCCCTTCTTTATGTGTACAGAAAGTTCCAAAGAACAGCAATCTACTCTTTTTTTTTTTCCCACTATGGTGAGCATTTTCAAAGCCTGCTTGACCTCAGAGGTTTTATGGTTCTGTTCTCTTTGCAGGGAGAGTTTTGATGTAGGGGAAAAGAGAAAGAAGCAGCAACAGCCAGAAAATGCATTTTCAATGAGACAGCTTGCTTCTGAAAACAGCAGAAAACCAAAAACCACCCAACAACAAATAAACTGAATGAAGGAAAAAGTTTAACAAGAGGGAAAAACAGACATAAAGACTTGAAAAATACATAAATAAAAAGTTGAGGTCAATAATTTATCAAGCCTAACTCCAAATACAAAAGCAAAAAAGAACCAAGTAGTAGGAGATAGGTTAAAAAGAAGAAAAGAGGCCCTGCTGCAGGGAAAAGGAAAATGAATTCCCCAAAACAAAAACTTCTGTTTATAAAGACGTTGAATACTTTTGTGTGGTGTCTGTGAGGAGCTTCTCAGCTCAGAGAAATCAGGTTAGCATCTTTCTCACACCTTCATTTTCACTGAAAAAGGCTGAAGCAATTAGAAGAAAGTAGGAACCACCAAAGGTGATTCTTGACAGTCTTTCAGTCTGAACATCTCTTTAGAAGGTAACTTTTTAACCATAATGAGAAAAACAGCAATGACAGATGCCCACTAAGAAATAGGAAAATACCTGGGCTTTGCTTGAATTAGGGAACTTGCCACAACAGAGGGAGGCTTTAATAAAGTTTGTTATTAATAGATCCATCTATTATTACATTGTGGAGAAAAACTTCCAGGAAGATTCAGAATATTCATTAAGGAAGCTGAGTGAAGCATGACACCCTTTCCTGATCAGGAACTCTCCACAGAGGAAGGCAGAGGAGCTCGGACTTGAAGGACTGATTTGTCGCTGTCCAAGAAGTACTCACATTTAGAATTACAAATCCCAGACAGTCTCCAAGTGGTTCTGTCTTGGCTGACCCTCTAGACAGAGGAGAGAATATGTTATGTTAGTTCAGACTAGGATATCGAGAGGTGGGAATGGTCAGCTCTTATAGCTAGTCCCAGCCTAACTCCAGTTCTCTGGACCAGTGAAGAGGCATGCTTGAAAGCATGATTGGACCCGAGATAGAGCTGTCCTCGAAAGAGCTACAACCCCAGACATAGCTGTCCTCGAAAGAGCTACAACCCCTGCTTTGGCTGGTTGTATTTTTGGAGGGTTGCTGAAAATTTCCTGATGCCTGCCCAGAACTCCATCATGTGTCTAATCTGCTTTTGGGTTGGTGATATGTAAATTCCAACATTTGTTTAAATTCCACATGCTGCCAAAAATGCTTTTTTTATAGATTTAAAAACCCTCAGTGATTATCCAAAATCTAATTTAATTTTTGGATGGTTTTCCCATGGCTTTTCTCTTTATTTTCTCTATTTTTCAATATTAATTGAAACTGCATACTTTGATATTCAGCAGAGTTGTTTCTTCTTTTCTCACTTGTCTGTAATATCAAAATTTCTACCGTAAGCGGATATGTGCCCTGGATCTTTTCTTTTCAGTTACATTTTTGTACAACTCCCACACATGTATTTCCCTACCTCAGGTTACCTGCTTATTACTTTAACTTTCTTGCCTTATACATTTCTGTGTTTTTTTTCCGAATAATTTGGAAGCCAGCATCTTGGGAGGCATCTAACCACATTTAGTCTAGTGCTCTGCTTAACCTATAAAATCCTCTAGATAAGCAAGGTATATTGGTCTAGGCACAGCAATATTATGGCATAACAGTGTCACATTTGGATCCTTCCTGGCATGTGTCTGGGTGGTTCAACACGAGTACTTTTAGCTTGTGCGTGCCTGCCTGGAAAAGACCATTTTGTTGTAATCTTCATCAGAAATGTGGAGCTGTTACATATTTCAGGTGAAACTATGCATGTGTGTCCCATAATTTACGGGTCGCTGAGTCTGCTTCTCCCAAGTGTTTGCTCCAACATGAATCACAGCAATAATCTCTCCTGCAGTAGCCAGTAATGATCCCTTCTCTATCACAGTACCTCAGAGAATATTCTCATTACATGTGACAGTTTAAGAAAATTTAAGTTACTCTTCAGATATGGGGAGAAATCCAGAGTCCAAACCTCTTTCTCTCCCCACTCTGGCTGTGGAAGGACAGCCTCAAGTGGTTCTGCAATGGAATGCAATGGAATGCAATGGAATGCAGTGGAATGCAGTGGAATGCAGTGGAATGCAGTGGAATGCAGTGGAATGCAGTGGAATGCAGTGGAATGCAGTGGAATGCAGTGGAATGCAGTGGAATGCAGTGGAATGCAGTGGAATGCAGTGGAATGGAATGGAATGGAATGGAATGGAATAGAATAGAATAGAATAGAATAGAATAGAATAGAATAGAATAGAATAGAATAGAATAGAATAGAATAGAATAGAATAGAATAGAATAGAATAGAATATTTTCAGTTGGAGGGGACCTACAACATCATCTAGTCCAATGGCCTGACCAATTCAAGGCTGACCAAAAGTTAAAGCATGTTATTAAGAGCTTTGTCCAAATGCCTCTTAAACACTGAAAGGGTCGGAGCATCGACCGCCTCTCTAGGAAGCCTGTTCCAGTGTTTGCCCACCATCTCAGTAAGGAAATGCTTCCTAAGGTCCAGCCTAAACCTCCCCTGGCTCAGCTTTGAACCATTCCCACGCGTCCTAGCACTGGATACCAGGGAGAAGAGGTCAGCACCTCCCTCTCAACTTCCCCTCCTCAGGATGCTGCAGAGAGCAATGAGGTCACCCCTCAGCCTTCTTTTCTCCACACTAGACAAACCCAGAGTCCTCACAGGACGTTCCTTCCAGCCCTTTCACCAGTTTTGTTGCCTTCCTCTGGATGCATTCAAGTACCTTCATGTCCTTCTTAAATTGTACTCAAGGTGAGGCCACACCAAGGCTGACTACAGCAGGACAATCACATCTTCTGACCGGCTGGTTTTGCTGTGTCTGATGCACCCCAGGGTGCAGTTTGTCCTCTCGGCTGCCAGGGCACACTGCTGACTTCTACTGAGTCTGCTGCCGGCCAGCACCTCCAGATCCCTTCTGCAGGGCTGCTCTCCAGCCACTCCTCTCCCAATTTATACTTGTCCCCAGCGTTACTCTGTCCTAGGTGTAGAATCTGGCATTTGGACTTGTTAAATTTCATCCCGTTAATCATTGCCCCATGCTCCGATCTATCTAGATCTCTCTGCAAGGCTGCCGTTGCGCTAGCAGCCCGTAAGGGGAAGGGCACTGTACTGCTGTATGTAAAACTGGAATGTGTATTCCAAGATCATGGCTGATGAACACAACAGCAGCATTACAGTAATTACAGTGCTGTTTTCTATCTTAACATCTTGCTAGTTTGCTCGTGTCTTGTCAGGACAGCACATCAAGCAGAATTTTCTGGAGCTGCCCGTGGTGTCTCCTACAGTGTTTGCTCTTGCAGCTTGCTTTTATCAAGAAGGTATCTGTTGGTAAGAGTAACAGAAGTTTGATAGGCTGTTTGTCGACCTGCATTTTTTCACTGTGATAGTACCTGTTCATTGAGTTTTATAAAATACCTGTGAAGTTCCTTGGGTTTTCTTTAATTTAGTTTAAATTAAAATCTGTATCAACTCTATAGTCTTCTGGTTCAAATCTTTTCCTGAAATACACACAAGCATATTAAACAGCATCATATCTAAACCAGTAAATTGAGACACTTTATCTGTTAATATTTTGCCTTTTCTGAACATTGATCATTGTATTCCAGCTCTTTATTTTTCCTTTGTTTAGCCAACTTGCAGTCCCACTTCATGGCTACTTAATTTCAGAACTCTGTTGTGTCAGAGGCCTAC